CCCTCTGGAATACTAAGTAACTTACCTTTAAGAAATTAATGTTATAATTACAGTTGAGGTTTTTAAGAAATTAATCCACTTATTTTAAATATTATTCTAGTACAAAAACATGGCAAATATAGTCATGCTACCATCCACTTCTTTATGCACCCTTTCTCATACCACCAACACTGTCAACTCATAATTTTTTACATTAGGGGCCAAAAGGAGACACTGCTGATTGTCAAGGTAACTCATGATTCTTCCTACATATAACTGAAGTATTGGAAAGGCATTAGTGGTGGGAAATTGTTTTCCATTTTAGAATATTCTTATAAGAAATGCAAAACAATGGACCTTCATTATATCTTAATGTTTATTTAATAATGTATTTATACTTTGTATAAATATAGATGTGTAAATGTTAAATCATTTAGTAATCTGAGTCTTGAAGGGTACCAGCTGGACAAAATTTACTGTCAAATTTACTTTGCCTAAAAATACAACATTTAGTAGGCAATATATGCCTAGATAGTTTTCTTTTTTTCCCCAAGTTTTTTCAAAATAAATGTATAGCTGTTTGATGAAACCTGTTTAAAACTCTGCTTCGAAGCTATATTTTATTCTGAGGATGTATCGGCCTTAATGCTTTCTGAGGAAGTTTTTATATATTCCCTAAATGAGTACAACAGGTTATAAAATAAATAAATGCAGTCTCTAATTTCCATATATCACTGAAAAAACGGTGGTTTGGAATTTAGGTTCAGAGATCAACTTTTAAAAGGTAATTTTCCTCTCAACTGTAGATAGAATTTTATGTATCTGAAATGAAAATGCTATGAAAGCAATACAATTAAACTGAAGAGTTAGAAAAAAAGACTCTGAAATTTAAATCTTTGAAGACTTGTCATGTTACACATTTCCCAAAACCTCCTTCTCCCTATCTGTTGAAACAAAATAGACAGTAACTCACTGTAATCTCCCCTTTCTCTGTTAAGACTCTTCCCTGACAGGGAAACTACAAGTTTGGACTTTGCCTAAACCCACTGCCAGACTAACTAGAAGAAAGCAGTAAATTACAACTCCTTCCTTCTATTTGTAGACTGAGAACCCTTTAACAATTTAATAATCCCAGCACCTAAACAGAACTTGACACTCAGTTTGCTGAATGAATGAAAACACAAGGGACCTGTGGGAATTAAAATACATATTGGCCAGGAGCAGTGCAGCACGGCCGGCAATCCCAGCACCCTGGGAGGCTGAGGTGGGGGTATCACTTGAGGTCAGGAGTTGGAGACCAACCTAGCCAACATGTTGAAACCCTGTCTCTAATAAAAAAATACAGGCCGGGGGCGGTGGCTCACTCCTGTAATCCCAGCACTCTGGAAGGCCGAGGCGGGCGGATAGCGAGGTCAGGAGATCGAGACCCTCCTGGCTAACACGGTGAAACCTCGTCTCTACTAAAAATACAAAAAATTAGCCAGGCGCGGTGGCGGGCGCCTGTAGTCCCAGCTACTCAGGAGGCTGAGGCAGGAGAATGGCGTGAACTCGGGAGGCAGAGCTTGCAGTGAGCCGAGATCGCCCCACTGCACTCCAGCCTGGGTGACAAAGCGAGACTCCATCTCAAAAAAAAAAAAAAAAATACAAATAGTAGCCGGGTGTGCCGGTGTGCACCTGTAATCCCAGCTACTCCAGAGGTTGAGGCAGGGGAATCACTTGAACCTTAAGGCAGAGGCTGCAGTGAGCCGAGCACGCACCACTGCACTCCAGCCTGGACGACAGAGCAACACTTTGCTCAAAAATCAAATCAATCAATCAATCTATTATATAATATCTTCCCTCAAGAGGTTATTAAATGAATATGAGGGAGAGAAGCATAAAAATAGCTCTGTGTCCCTATAGTATGAGAATCAAATGTAGCGACCCTCACTCAGGCTGTTTCACTTGGAGGTTTAGTATTTAACCCTCCCTAATTTATTCATTCATTCAAAAATGTGAGGAATACAAAAATTACTATGATACACGCAGTTCATGCCTTCAAATTGATCTCATAGTAAGCGTCTCATGATTCTATCGAGATTCAGATGCTGGACCCTTGGTGATCCTTTGCTTCCCTTTGCAAGTTTAGTCAAATAGAAATCCATTGGAAACAAAATAAAAATTCTGCTACAATACTCAAATCAAATATGGTCAGTGCTCACACTGCTTACAGTTGTTTTTTCCTTTTATTATTATTTTTGATTTACAATAATTGTACATATTTATGGGGTACAGTGTGTTACACGGTTTTACTTCATTTTCTTTTTTCTAAATGACAAGACATGAAATAATTTAGATAGGCTTGTCTCATTTTCAACAAGCTAGCCTCCAATATCTTCTATCTGTCACAGTTTCTGTTTCTGGTTCCACTCATGGAAATAAAAACACTTCCTGAAAATCCTCTCCACAAAAATTTTCTTCCTCAAAAAGTTTTCAGTGAACCAACATGGAAGGAGAATAAGGCATACTTGAGAACGGGACTTTCTTTTTGTTTCGTTTTGTTTTTTGGTTTGTTTGAGACAGAGTCTCACTCTGCTTCCCAGGCTGGAGTGCAGTGGTGTGATCTCGGCTCACTGCAACCTCCAGCTCCCAGCTTCAAGTGATTATTGTGCCTCAGCCTCCCAAATAGCTGGGATTACAGGCATGCGCCACCACACCTAGCTAATTTTTATATTTTTTAGTAGAGACAGGGTTTTACCATGTTGGCCAGGCTGGTCTCAAACTCCTGACCTCAAGGGATCTGCCCACCTCGGCCTCCCAAAGTGCTGGGATTATAGTCATAAGCCACAGCGCCCAAAGAATAGGATATTTTTTAAAGAAACAGGAAGAAAGGAAAGAAGGGAGGAAAGGATGAAGGGAGGAAGCCTGGCTTTTATATAGGCCTCAAGGGCCATGCTACAGAATTTCACTGAACATGAAGTGGTATATGATGAGATACATTCTCTTGATGAACACCCTCAGACGACAGGCTAACAGGGATTTTACTAGGCTGCACAGTAGAATGTAAAGTTCCTTTGTATATACTTCCACTGCTTGTATCCCTGTTTACTGCTGATGCACTCTGCTATGTGGTTCTGTGTCTATTCCCACAACTAGATGGTAAACGCCAAGTCACATCTCGCTCAGCCTCTTTCCACCATCCTTAGCCCTCTGCAAGGTCAAATAAAAAACATCTCCTTATAAGAAAAAAAAAAGTTAAGTGAGGAGGACAATAACTGAGTAGGATTTCAGTTACACACTGCTGGTTTTAATAATTATTTAGCTCTTCTGTACATGCGTTCAATAAAGTATTATTTGATAAATATAGGAAACAAAGATTTGGGAGGTAGGAACTGACACACTGACATGTTTATAAAATTCAAGAGTTAGTTTTCATGGCAGCACTACTATAGGCAGAATTTTTCATTTTCTAAGACCTGTATTCAATTTCATATCCCACAAAGACCATATATTCTTACACTATACTATTACCCCTCATTATATAGCAAGTTGAAATTTGCATCTTTATATATCAAGGGCTTAAGCAAAGCTGAGCCACACTTTTCAAAGTGTCAAACATTTCAACTGTTTTCAAATGTTTGAGGTTTATAAAAACTAAATTATGCTTTGTCAAGCTTTTTTTAAGGTTATTAAATGTCAAGATTGAGAAGACAATGCCTATTTCTGACTTATTATTTCTCTTCTCCCCTCCCTCTCAAGCCACACTTATAGGCATACATATACAAACACATTTGCATACACATACTTTAAAAACTACTTCATATTTCAGCACAAAAGCCCTCATTAAAAAAAATTACCACTATAAAAAATGAATAACAAAATTTCAGAAACTTTAAAAACTAGTGAGGAAAATTACCTTTACTTCTAACACCATAACATTTTAATAACAATGATACATTTTTATTCATTGTTATTAGACATTTTAGAACTTTAAGATAACACCTTTTTACCTTAATAAAATTTCCCCCAAAATAGTATTTTTGTGTTTTTAATATAAAAGTTATACAACAAACCTGCACATTCTGTACATGTATCCCAGAACTTAAATTTTAAAAAAAGTTATACAGTCAAAAACACATATAAAATTGTCACAATAAAAACAATATTCACAGAAATAAGTTTAGCCAAATATAAATCCATTTGAAACAAAATAAAAATTATACCACAATATTCAAATCAAACAATCCAATATATTAATATACATTCAATTTGAGGAAAAATTTATTTTGCTTCACATCCCCTTTGAGTCTCTAGTTGTTTATTCGTGAATACAACTGCTTCTTAAGCAGTCTCTGCATTAAAAATACATGTGTTTCAGAGACTAAGAGAACAGCATGCAAAGAGACTCCTACTGTAGAAAGCTACTTTGCAGAAAATTTAAACCACGATGTGCTTAAAACGCCAGGATCTCAAAAGTTAAAACAGTGGTTCTCCACTCTTTTTCTCATTTCATGAGAGTTTAGATCAAAAAGATATCCTTGTTCTTTTACTGAAAGTTTACTGACGGCACATCTTCCAGAGTCTGCGTATGAATGAAATGCCAAGTCTACAGTGCTTTCCTGATATAAAAATTGTTTTCATATTGGCTTCTTTTTGTAAAGGATTTCTTTTTGTAAAACACTTCTCTTTATAAAATATAATAAGCATATCTTTGAAATATATACTATGACTAATGTTTATCTCATCACTAAAAGTAATCCTTAAATAAAATCAAGTATAATATTGACTTCTGCATTTTTCAATATGGTTGTATCTTAATCAACCGAATTCTCAAAATTTGTCAAGTTTTTATTTTTAATTAGTCAAGGATCTTTCCTTTGCATTTATTTGTTCTCTAACTTATTTTATCTTTTTAAATGGAATAACTCTGATAGAATTAAAATGGTAATTTTTGTCTATGTTATATTTTGCTCTCTAGAATAGATTAAATGCTTGGTCTTTTGCGGTAAGATAGAAAAAGTTGGTTTAAAATGAGATCTTACCTTCTGATTTGTTGTTCTTCCTCTTCAGCCATTTCTCTACTGTCTCTGCACTAACACTTTCAGATACAAATTCATCTAATACCTGGGGGTGAAGAGAAAGATATGCCTTCACTTTTTCATCTGTCAAACCTGTAAAAGAATTGAAAAGAATAAAATTCACCTATACAACTTCTTCATATAAATGAAAGGTATAGTATCACAACACATTATGCTAAGACCCAGCAACCTCTCTTCTCATGGAGAGAGGGCTGGAAAAGAGCGGGAAGGGGAAGTTATTGCTTAATGGGCACAGAGTTTCTACTGGGAGTGACGGCAAACTTTTGGAACTAGACAGGTGAATACTGCCCAACATGGGGAATATACATAATGCCACTAAATTATATGCTTAAAACAGCATTTAAAATGGTTAAAACACCATTTTTCATATATATGTGTGTGTGTGTGTGTGTGTATGACCACAATAAAAAAGAATGTAGTTAGTGTAGTAATTTTAAACTACAGATATTACATCATGTTACACAGTTGTTTCTAACAATAAATTTCAGAGTTACATATGAACCAATGCCAAGACCCAATGCTGTACATTAAGGCTTACAGAGTATTTATTTTTTCAGTATATAGTTACCATAGATTTAGTGGTCAAAGCAAGTGAAACTCTAGCAAGAGTAGTAAACAGGAAAATCTAGCACTGAAACATTATAGGTGCTAAAAAAAAGATTTAATACATAAATGAATAAATTTTTATCTTTTAATGCCTTACAATACAAATCCTTCCTTTTTCTCAAAGGCATTAAACCCAGTGGTATAACTAATGTTCAGTTCAGAATAATCTTGACATTCATTCATTAATATTCTGTGTATGTAGTCAGTTTCACTGAAATAGTTTTCATAGCCTAATGATAAACATAAGATTTACATATACATATGTAATGTATATTTACATAATGTATATTTACATTACATATGTAATGTATATGTAATGTGTGTGTAATATACATTACATATGTATATGTGATGTATACATACATTATACATAAGATTTTCAAACAAAGTATTTTCACATGTTTTCACATCTCACATATAAAGTATATGTTTTCAATCTGGTGCTTTGGGTCGGTATGCCATTTCATTAAACAACCCCAAACACAAACAGGCTTTGAATAATTATCCTTCAGTGACGGGAATTATTTTTACTACCGTATCTTTTCTGTGAATTATTTGAATAAACTATCCTTTTTAGGGATGGTTAGGTTTAAAAAAAAGGCAATGGAAAGCTGCACTCTGAGAAAGAAAAGAAGGAAAGGAAGCTTATCTTTATGACTCCAGGGAGTAGGCTGTATGTTTCCCCAAACAGACAAAACAGAGAATTCATATGTGTTAATTAATTCTGCTGGGAACTAAAGTCACAACTGTTGGGATTCTACAACAGAATGGTATAACTGAAAAGGAAAATGACTTATTTCAATGAAATTGGTAGTTAAATAGTCAATTTAAACACACACACACACAGAGTTGTATAACACAAATGAAATAATACCCCTGGCTATATTCACCTGAAAAAGGGCCCCAGTGGTGTAAAATTCAGTGTGAGAAATTCTATAAAATGCTAAATATAATTGACTCAATAAAGTAAGTGCTCTCCTGACACAGCAAATTATAGTCCCTAGAAACCAAAGGTGCAGGTTACTACAGTAAGCTGATAGCATACTTGACCTTTGAGAAGATAGATAATGCAAATTTCATGCTCTCCTTAGGTCCTCCATATTCAATATTGACTCCTTCTTAAAATTTCTTTCTGCCACTCCCATGACACAAGGCTATAGAATTTTTATCCTAACTTTCTAATTGCTCTTGAATTCTGCTTTCTCTTCAACAATCCATAATGATGACACCAAAATCTAAATCAGGAATCTTAACATATTTTTAATCTCTAGTCTAGCTCTTTTCCCATCACCTCAAGCTCCATCTTAAGTCAAAACTACATGAGTTATCTCCTTCTCACTTCTTCCCAAAGAGATTTTAACTCTTGGTTTTCCTTTTTGTGTTACTATTACTCTACATTTTCCCAGAAACTGAGGCTGAAAAACATAGTAATAACTAATTCCTCCTTGTCATCTCATTTCATCTTAGTGCATTACCATACAAGTCACATTTGCCAAATTACACGTCAGATAAAAGATGTGCATCCAAAATAAACAACAAAAGAAAAACACTCTTAAAACTCAACAATAAGAAAACAATCAACTCAACTGAAAAATGGGCCAAAGGCCACTTCAGTAAAGAAGACATAGATATGGCAATAAACATTTTAAAAGATGCTCATTTGTTAATTGTGAATTGAAGTTAAAACATAAATGAGATTATATTACACACCTGTTGGAATGGCTAAGATTAAAAAAAAAACCTGACAGTACCAATTGTTGGCATGGATGCAAAGCAACAAAAATTATCATTTAATCCTGATAAGGATGCAAAATGCTACAGTGACTTTGAAAGGCTGTTTTGCAGTTTCTCACAAAGCTAAATACAGTCTTTCTGTGTGACCCAAAAATCACACTAGTAAGCATTTACCCAATCGATATGAAGACTGATGTCCACACAAAAACCTGCATGTGAGTGTTTTTGGCAGCTTTACTCATAATCACCCAAATCTGGAAGCAATCAAGATATTCTTCAATACGCAAATTGGATAAACAAACTGTGATACATCCATACGACCAGATATTTCACATTAAAAAGAAACGGGCTAACAAGCCATGAAGTAACATGGATGAGTCTTAAATGCATATTGCTACAAGAAGAAAAGTCAGTCTAAAAAGGATACACAATATACAATTCCAACTATACAACATTGGAGAAAAGGCATAAGCTGTACAGGTAGTAAAAAGATCAGTGACCACCAGGAGTTCAAGGGGAAAGGGCAAATTATGAATGGGTAAAGTACAGGGGATCTTTTAGGATGATGAAACTATTCTGTAAGACACTATAATGATGAATACATGACACTATGCATTCGCCAAAAATCTGTAGAACTTTATAGCACAAAGAATAAACAACCATGTATGCAAATTTTTAAAAACTCACAAGGTCAGGGGGTCTCAGGATGGAAAGCATAATGCAACAAAAGAATCTAAATGCATTACACACATATAAAACAACCTCCCTGAAGCCGGTGGCAGAGGATAAGGTGCTAACGTATATAACTTTGAAAATAAGTGGGGTGAGAAGAAAATGCAAAATAAACTGTACATAAGCACCACACTCTAGTTGGTAAAGCTGTTGTCTCAAGAGGGTATAGTTTAACACTGGTCAATTAAACAAATGAGTGGCAGACGGTGGGAACAAGATTTCTCAATGGTAGCATGGGATGTTACAGATAAACAAAAGGAAGAGTTCAGAATGATCCATGTGGTAATGAATTAGAGTTGGAGATATCAGTGAACTCATGTATGACAATACAAATAAAAACGGTTACATATAGGAATATTGGTAGATACGTATATCTCGTAAATACACACAAGTCTCACTTTGCTAGGTTAGCGGAGACGGCCTAGAAGCAACAATATCCTGGTATAATTGCGTATATATAGCACCTAGAGCTTGGTTGCTAGTACCAGTCTACAACAAAAGGAACCAAGACTCCACGAAGAAACAGCTAAAGTTAGGATAAGAACAGAAAATACATAAGCTTGGAGTAGCCAATGATTTAAAATTTGCTACCAGTAAATCGCACAGACAGACTAATACAGATAACTATTCCAAAGTAATTGTGTATATTTGAGCGAGTATACTTTTAAATATATTGTTCATACTAATAAACTACCTCCTTTCATCTACGTAACATTTTGCCAGAGTGCAAACAGATAAAACTAATTAAACTGACTTTCATCTTCATTTCATTTTTCAACAGCTGGCAGGAGTACTAATGAGGATGGGCTGGTTAAAAGTAATAAATGATAGAAGAGAAGCACATGGTTATTGATAGACTGAATGATCAGGGTAAGTTAGGAAGAGCTGATGAATTTCATTAGTCTTCACAATGCAGTTTGCAAGTGCCCATGGAAAATGTCACGAAGGATTACAATCTAAACAAAACCACACTGAAAAGCAGAGTGGTACATGTAGCAGTTAGATTTAACACTGACCTGAAGATACGTAACAAAAGGCATAATAAAGACTGATGAATATTTTAGTACAGATAATTGCTTCTGTGGCTAACAGCCAGCAATCTGAGGGGTAGATAAGAATTAACTTTATTTTCTTGCTGAGTAATTCTTTTAAAGAACTAGATAAACATCACATCAATATCTCTACTTCAACATTTTGACATTGAGACACAGAGCAGTGATGAAAAGGATTGGCATCTTTAAGTTTCCATGCATAGTAATGCAAAATATCAGTAAAAAGTAATAACGTCAACAATGATACATTTTTGTATCTTTGTTGTTAAATATAGTAGCATTGAGGCTACTTTTCTCCTGTCTTCACAGAAATCTTACAAGCTTCTCATAATGTAACACATTATTATGCTACCCTTTTGGTTTTTGCTTTCTGCAAGCCACAAATTCAACTCTTTTTCAGATGAAGATTTTGCATGTATACACATATGTATAAATATATATTTAAAACTTTTATCAAACCACACAAAAAATGTAGTGGCCCTATGTACTCAACAGCCAGCTTCAACAATTACCAATTCATAGCCACTATTTTCCATCTCTACCACCTACTCTCCTCTCATATAATTTCAAAGCAAATCCAAGAAATTATTTTAATATATTAATACATTTCAATATGTATCTCCAAAAGATAAAAATATTCTAACCATAAATGCTACTATCACACCTAAAGAGACGTTATTATTTTTAATTCCATCAGAAATATCGAGGCTTTAAATCTTTTTTTTTTTTTTTTTTTTACAGCTTGTTCGTCTGAACTAGGACACAAGTAAATCAAGTAAATTCAACATGTTACAGTAGTTTGGTATTTCATTTTTAAAATCATATTTAGGTCCCTTTGTCCAATAATATTCCCCTCCATCTCTTACTTTCCTCCATTATAACTTATTTCTGAATAAAATAGGTTTTTAGTCTATGGTTTACTTCAATCTTGATTTTTCTGACTTTATC